CGCCACTGACTGAACTATACTCCACTCTGCTCTACTTTACTCTACTCTACTCTGCTTCCCTCTCCCGGCCGTCGAGTTATATAGTTCTGCATCGTTGGGTCGAGATGATTCCGTTGAACCACATAGCCGCATTCCAGAATCGTTGAGGTCGCGTAGATCTAGAAGGCGAGTCACTGGCACGGTCCTCAACAGATGTCGCCAAAGCAGAGGTATATTTTTGTATCTCTTATTATATAATATTGTCCAAAACTTTGATACATGAAACATCAATAAAAAGAACTATTCCTGTATGGACTTTATGCATTGGCGAAAATCTGTAACAATAAAAATACATATGAAAAAAAATTTGAAATAGCACTTTGGCACATTTTTACGGTTTCTATAAAAAATTCTATTTTTAACATGAAATAGCCTCTAGTTCTTCTGTCGATTCCAATTTTTACTGAAAAATGAGTAAAATGTAATAAGTCACCACTTTAGAGAAGCTATCCACATTTACATTAGCATTGGTTGTTGACTTTCACAAATGTTTCTTCAACTAGTCTGTAAATAATAAGTACACGGACTTTATGGGCTAATTTTTTAACTAAATTTTCATGCCAGATATTATATAAACTATGTAGGTATTTTAAACGAACGAATTCTATTTTCAAAGTTAAACTGATAAAGTGATAAATATAGACTTAACAATAAATAGGTGCCTTCGATAACGCTAACAGGTTATTTCTTTCACAAGTAACATCTCGGAACATAAGGCTCTCTTAAAACTAAAAATCAGTATTTATTTATATTATTATACTAACCTTAATCATTTAATCAAAAACAATAAAATTGCATCCAACGTCGGTAGTTGCAAATATGAGAAATATCAATTAATTCCATCAAAAGCTTATACATACAAAATTAAATACGCTAATAGCATCTCGATTAAGATGAAAATGCATTAAAATATCCCTACTAACTAAATAAAAAACACAAAATTATATCATTTAATTACACGTCTCATATAGTAAAGAAAGCAAGTTTTGTCTCTTAATGGTGGGTGGCCGGAGTAAAGTCTCTATTGTCGCCACTGTCCCTATAAAGCCACTGTACTATACAGTTAGAATCGTCGCCATCTAGCGGTCACATATGGTCCCAACCTGTAGCTGCTACTCAGTGTACGTAGTGGTCGATTCTTGTAGTAGATGGCGCTTCGTGCTGTCTTATTTCGATAGATCTCACACTTTTGACAGTGTATGGTTGCTATGCTTGCATCCGTTGTCCAAGAAACCAAGCTAAGACCATTCTATCGAGTAGTCAAAAAGCACGAAGGAGCTGTCCATAGTTGGATGTCTTTAGTCACACGGACGAAATGACAAATCAGCACGTTTAGTTTTGTTTTTAAAAACTGTTTTTGGACAATTTCTAATTTATTCATTTGATAATCAAGTGCTCGACTCTAACCTAATATATCATAACTCATTCGTCTTTCGATGAGAACATGATAGAAATTAGAAAATGTTTATAGCTCCTATCTAAATAGTTAATAAGATATTTGAATGGTCTCAAATGGCTTCTTATTATCAGGTAACCAAATAAGTTCGTGCGGTTGCTGTATATCACCCATTGCCATGGATGTTGTTGATCGGTGGCGATTGTTTGTTACCTGTTGTTACTTTAGTATAAATTCTTCTTTTCTCTTTTCTCACAACTTGCAGAAATGTTCAGAGTGAGTCCCGAAACTATTCGTTTGCATCTTCATCAGCTAGGAAAGACGTGCAAGTTAAGCAAATGGGTCCCACATGAACTGACAAATGATAACAAATTAAGTCGTCTTACCATTTGTCCATCATACATTTCACGCAACGCAAATGAGCCATTTCTTAATCGGTTATTAACCTGCGACGAAAAATGGGTCTTGTATTCGAATTCTAAGCGTCCGTATCATTGGTTATCGCCTACTTATTCGGTACCACTCACGCCCAAGGCTTCCTTGCATCCAAACAAGGATTTGTTGTGTGTTTGGTGGACAGCAACTGGAATTATGAGTTTTTGGAAAGGGGTCAAACCATCACTGCTAACTTGTATTGGGAGCAGCTTCAACGAGTACAAGCAGCACTTATACAGAAACAGCCTTCTTTGATCAATCGGAAGATACTGATATTCTTGCAGGATAACGCCAAAGCTCATACCGCAAAAAATTTCTGAACTCGGCTGAGAAACGTTATCGCACCTGCCATATTCTCCCGACATTTTTCCCAGTGATTATCACTTTTTTTGTCTCTTGACAACTGTATGAGGCACCGACAGTTCACAACTCGAGATGTAACTCGATGTAATAAATGCAGTCAAACTTTTTTAATCCAAATCCAGGGAGTTCTACAATACTGGCATACAAAACTTGGTTCCACGTTGCAAAAGATCATTGCATGTGATGATAATTACTTCGAGGAATAAACAGTGTCTTATTGCTTCTCAATAAAAATTTATATTTTTCTACTAAAAACCGCACGAACTTATTTGGTTACCTGATATATGACAGATATCCAGATTCCACTTTAATTGTGGGTCTAGATGTACGAATAATTGATTGGTATAGGACCAGAGGATGGACATTTGCCTCTATGATTTGTGGATGGCATAAACATGGTTTTTTAAAGTCGATAGTTGAGCGTTTATATCTGAACTACTAGTAGTATAAAATTAATAAGCCTCTTTCAACCTTCTACTTAAGATCATCCTGGTATCCGAAAAAATGATAGCACTATCGTCTCCAAAGCAGGTGGTTGTGATAGTGTGTGACTTCAAGTGTATGCCATTAGTTCTATGATAATAATCATCAGTTAAGAGTGCCTAGGCACTTACTGACATAGGCTATCACTCTCACGACGTGCGACATTGCAAACGTAAGAGGTCAGCTTTCATACAAATTGGATTGACTAACTTAAATCAATCGATGCAGGAATGACTTTATGCAAAAAGTGCGACCATTGTGAAACAACAACTTTCAAGGTAAATTAAATATGGATATAGATAGTCACCCAATGCATACGAGGAATATATTCCAAATGAAATACAGTGGAAAACCGTGCATTTCAGGGACATTGTATAATGCATGTCCCTTGCATATACGGAGGTCGAGTTCCGTATTGTGCAGCTGACTTCCAGGGTATGCAAGGATTCCACTACATATTGATGATGTTCATTAAATCGGAAAGGAATTCAGTGCAGAATACAACCACGTTAACATTGTTTCTTTGACTAAGCAAAGATGTTTCAAAATTTAGAATTGCAATGTGCTTCATATCAATGCGTAAGATGTACAGTTGTATGCATAGTGCCTTCAGAAAGAAGTTAGACAGTTTGAAATACAAATGAAAATAAAAGACAATTTAGCAATTTTCAGAAAGGATCTTACTAACAATAAACAACCAATATACAGTGGAGATTCCAAGATATTTTTACAAGACCTCAAAGTTGGGTAGTCTGTACCCTATTCTATTTTAGCTTATTGTGTGTTTGGTACACGATACGTGATGACTGTTTGATATTATTTACATTCTTATCGTCATCCTTCCTAGTCGTAGCATTAACGTTGCAATTCTAACACAGGCACAGGGTGACCCAAACTTGCATGGATTATTCTTATAGTAATAATGTTTATAACATAACAGTTAACAGGTATGTTGCGGCAATAGTTCTGGGTGTGTTTTCACGTTGCCGAAAAGCGTTTAACGTTTTTGAGTCGATGAGTGAGGATGAGGTGCCTGGTAAATTGAAAAATCGACAGATAGCTTCATACTCGCACGTCACATTGGGGGGCTGGATGTGCTTTTGGAACAAAAATACCTATCCCATGCGATTCCGGGCTTTTCTGGTTATAAGCGGTACCATCTTAAAATTGTAGTGGTGGCTCTCACGATTGTCATTAATTGCCAGTGTACTTTAGAAAGGCCATCGTGGTGGCCAAAACGTCGTACAATAAACAGAAATTGAAACATATATGTTGTTTGACTCGTTCAGACAATGGAGTCCTACAGATTGTCCTATTTTAGTGTTTTACAGAACCATAGACCAAAAGCATTTGCGACTATCCAAATATGTGATAAAAAATATCGATATCTGTAAAAACCATTAATATCCAACTCAGTAATGAGACATTGTATATTCCTGTACATTTTTTTAATGTATTCTCACAGAGTCATCCTGAACAATTTTTGAAAAAGTACGTGTCTTGGAGCAACACTAAGTCCATTCCCTATGTTTGGTCCACCCTGTACATGTATCATTATTGCAATGCGGCTGAACCGGCCAGTAAGGCTGATGATACGACAGTAAATAGCTATCAAACAGAAGGCCTTCGTGGTAGTTGGAGTATAAAAAAACATCTGTTTTGCGTTGCTAAGAAAGGGAATATCGAGAGGCACTATAAAACTATAAATTTGAATTTTGAAAAATCATTTCCATTACGTTCTGCAACCAGAATGGAAAACTGAAACAATTAAAAAATCAGTTAATTGGACAACAGATAATGTATTTAAAAAAAATCGACAAAAGTCAGTCTGCAACTGAAGCATCATACAGGGTGCTCCAGATAATTGCACAAAAGAAGAAACCTTATGAAGACTGGGGAAATGATAAAACAGGCGTTTTTAGAAGCTGCAGATTCATTATTTTTTGCCTTCTTGAAACACAGGCGCGATAGTGCCTGCTTTAAAATCTATGCAACTTTCTGCTAATACAGTGATGAGATGAGTAGAAGTAATGAGCAATGATATAGTCTCAGAGTTAAGAAATGACTTAGATAACTGTGCTTATTTTTCACAGCAGCTGGATGAATCCACAGATGACGTCGTCGACCCCTTTGAGATGTACGTGTTCGTCAAGTTTGGTTTTTAGTGATTTTACGATTAAAGAACATCTTTTGAAGTTTATTCCACTAAAAGGACAGACTACTGGGCATCTTGTTTACTTCTTTTAAACATATTATTTCTTCTGAGAAAATTCCAATATCGAAAATGGTAGGCGTGATAACCGATGGCGCTCCAGCTATGGTGGGTCGTGATAAGAGTCTCGTGAGGTTATGTCGTAAAGATGAAAGTTTTACGCTATTTCTTTGTTACCACTGCATTATCAATCAGCAAGCATTATGTGGACATTTTATAAAACTAAACAACGCTATGAAATTGGTAGTGAACATTGTGAATAAGATTAGAGCTCAAGCGTTACAAAGAAGATTATTCAAAACATTGGCTGATGAAATTGACTTGACATACGGGAACTACTTTTTCACTCTGAAGTCCGATGGTTAAGTAGGGGCCGAGTGCTGAAACGTTTTAATGATATCTGACATAGTTCAATTTTTCAAACAACGTGATGAACCGATCCGGTACTGGAAAATTCTATCTGGCTTAGAGATTTTGTTTTTTTTGTGGATATTACAGAGGAATTAAATGAACCTAAGTTGCAGCTTCAGGAGAGAGACAAAGAACTAGCAGAAATGATTTCTGATATAAAAGCGTATGTCAAAAAGCTTAAGTTTTGGGAACAAAACTTAATCGCTGGCGATACTAGGCGTTTTCCTATTCTTTCAGAAAAAGATATCTCAAGGTCTATCAGAACCATATGACAGTAAATATCATGTAGAAATAGTCTCTAGCTTGAAGGATAACTTCAATAATCGTTTCAAGTATTTCAACGAAATTGCTATAGTAGCGCAATTTGTTGTTTCATCCTTCATGGAAATTGATATCTAAGAGTTTTCAACTTTTGTTACGCATAATTTTAGCGAAGACATGGCTGCGACAGAAATGGAAGTGATTACGTTTCAAAATGATTTAGCTTTAAAATCGTTAGTCTCAAATACAAAATGTATCTGGCCTTCAGTAAGTAAAGATGAATATTCAGTTTTATGTCGTGTTGCCGTGAAAGCGAAAGCGTTATTTAGTTAAACCTATTTGTGTGAATTTTCTTTTTCAAATATGAGGTTTATTAAAAACCGTAAAACCGTAATCGGCTGACAGGTGCAGATTTGGATAATTTTATTTCAATGGCGGTATAGAATTATACTCCAAACATTAAAAAAAAATGTCAGTGAGTCTGTGTCTTAGGCTTCTCATTGAACATGCATTTCTTATCTGGAGATGGTTTTGCTTAAAATAGTGCGTTGTTTTTTTTATTTTTAGTTACCTTTCTTAAATCGTATATGATATGCCATTGTATCTGACGAAACATTTTGTTTATTTTTCAAACACCTACGATTGGTAGGAATGGATGTAGTTATTCGTTTATTCAAGTTTACTAGTATGTATTAGTATTAGTAAAATAAACACATGTATGTTACATACAACAAAATTATCAAACGCTGCAAATGTTGGTGGCAACTGCTTTAAATGATCATATGCACATTCACCATTTCTACTACATAATATGAATATCTTGGGACATTCACCATTCTGGTGTATAATGGATAATGAATACTTGTAACTTCTAACACGTGAAAAATGTAATCTAATTAGTACGCAAGATCTTATTAATAAATTATAATTGATAAACCCCAGTAAGCATTGAAAACAGCACATGAATACAAAATGAAAAAGTGTGTTTTCTTGGGGTCCGACTATTTTCTTCAGATGTAATTATTTACACTAAACACGAATCATCTTTTGAATCAACCATATAAAAATTATCCACAGGCAGACAAAAAAATAAAAAGTGGTGACTGCAGGGGACGTATTTTTTCCCTCTGACACAAACCTGAAGTCAAAATTGGGGGCAGATGGACAAATATAAAGCTAATTTGGATATCAGAATTAAAAATGGTACTATTCGTCATTATTCGTCAGAGCGGTCCGGTGGACCTTTGCTCTTAGTTAAAAGTCTCGTCGGTCTGTTAGTCTGTCAGGTCTGCCTACCCAGATACCAGACATGATTAAGGGGGTTAAAAATGTTTTTTTTGATGAATTTGTGTCTCTCATAGGGATGCGCATCCACCACTCATGGCAAAATATGTGACCTTAACGTGCAATTAGCCTGACAGTGACCCAAAACATCTTGAGTCTTATTTTTTTCACATTTTAGAGAGTTTTAATAATCACAAATATCGCATGCGTAAATGTTAACGGTAACCTATAATCCATTGAATTCTTGTAACTTATATGTAAAATTTAATGTTTAAGTATGCACCATTTGCGATTGCTAAAAATGTCTAATCCCTTTTCTCAATATTCGCTTTTCAACAAAAAAGATGTTTGAAAAAACTGCTAATATTATTTTGGAATATGAAAAAAAAATTTTTTTGCGGGATTCATAACCTAAAGTTACGTCTGCTGGTGACATGAAAAAGTACATATCACATATTAAAGTTGCATGCCTCAAACTTTGATTAAGAGATATTTTTTCTAAGCATACTGTGCTAGATATTGATCATCGAATCTTTTTTCTTTCAATGTCAAATTCTTCTTGGTATTACATGTTCATTAATGAAAATATCCAGTAATGGACATGGCCTGTACGCTTCAAAAAATAATCGGAAGTGTTTCCTAAAAAGTATTCTGAAATGCTGGGCACGCTCACCTCATCAAATACTACGCATTATCTTTGAATTTCCAGGTAAGTCTTATACCTCTAGCGGTGCGCTTTTCTATTACCAAAATCCACGCTTTGTGGAAAATCCATTTTTGCTGGATTTACATACCAGCCCCGAGTACTCACTACCAGATTTTCTAAAAATCGATGAAACCGTTCTTGCTAATGTCCAAGAATAAGTACAGGGTAACCGATATGTAACTGACTGGTTTGTATCTTGAATATTTGTGAAATGGAATAAAATACGCCCATTTTTTCATCTTAATATTTTATTGAAACTTAGAAATTATGTATGAAAAATAATATCAGACAAATGTCCGCCTATAGAAGCCCTCTTGATTAAATTTTCCATCACTTTTTGGTAGATTTCTGGAGGAGTATTTTCAATCGCTTCCATAATATTGTTCTTCAGCTGCTCCACAGTATTTGGTTTGTTAGCATAAAGCCTATTTTTCAAAAATCCCCATTAAAAAGACAGTAGCCGTTAAATCCGGTGACCATGGTGGCCAATTATCTGCAGCGTCTTCAAAGAAGAAAGGTCCAATGACACTTCCATACCAAACACAGCACTAAACTGTGACTCGACGAGGATGTAGTCATCGTTGATGGATGACACGAGGTTCTCTATTGCCCAGATACGACAATTCTGCTTATTAACAAATCTGCTCATATCGAAATGGGCTTCATCGCTCATTATCAGTTGTCGATATTTTGGGTATTAAGCTGCAATATTGCATGACTGTATTTTCTGCGACTTTCATAGTCACTAGGCTGTAGTTCTCGGCTTAACTGAATTTTGTATGGCCGCAAATGCAAGATTTTTTTAAATAGTGCATAATGACGTGCGACGAATGCCCAGTTCGTGAGAACGATGTCTGGTAGACGTCTCAGGGCGCTCCACTACACTTTCACGAACTCTCTCGATATTTTCTAGAATACAAACAGTTCAAACATGTTCCGACCTTGTCAAGTCTTTAAATTCACCAGTCTGTTCAAATGTCCGCGCCAACTGATGAATGGAGTGGACACTGGGCGCATCATTTCGACCGAAATCTGGTCGTAGCTTCCGAATCGTTGCAACAAGTTAAACGTCTTAACAACATGGACGCATTGTGGGATCGTGTAGCGCTCCATGATCAATTGAACACTTGTACTTTGAACAACTACTACAGCGCCACCTACTGAAATACGTGTATCAACAATGGCGCGCAGTTTAAATCGGTCAGTTATACATTGGCCTCTCTGTATATTACCGAGATCACTTACACACAACGACGAGAAACATATGAAAGGTTTGCAAACAACAAAATATCCAATAAATATACTGGGTATTAACCGCGTTTAGTGACCAGTGGCACTGAGGTGATTATGAATAACCTCATAACAGTGTTTATTCTAGATATAAGGTTAATTTGGGTCAAAGAAAATTCTTAGACTGTGTCCATTATTATTTTCTATTTTTAAAATTATCAAGTGCAACATCGAGAGCTAATGCAAAATAAAAAGGTGATTCATTAAGGTGGGCTTTTTAAACTTTTTTCAAATGTGTAAATGAATTTCTGGTATGCAAATATATTTTTGATGTTTTTCGAGTATACTTCATTTTTGTAGTAGATCATGGCGTAAAAGGAATCTTATAGGTTTGGAGCTTGACAGCTTACAATATTGATTTATAGAATATACAGATTGGTTGTAAAGCTATGAGGCCTCAAATATATAGTCAAAACGACAAACCACTCTGTACCTTGGTCATGAATCACTTCCTATTCTATATTGATTTTAATGGCTATATTATATTGATTTTAATTACGCCAGTGGCCGCTATCCATAATTACACTATTACTTTCTCCAAATCACACACCTTCTATAAGTGTTGCTGAACTAGTAACACTTTATACTCATACATGTAATGACGTTTTGTTTGTTCACTAAACCTCATAGTTTGTTGACCATACGCATAATCCTTTTTGCTTTAAATGTTTGCACTCATGTTTGTCGGTAACCGATTGGACTGTCTATCCCTTCAACGTATGTACATGATCGGTCTTGCCTTCAAAGTGTCTGTGGTATTCTAGATTCGTCATAGTATTAAAAATATTTTACAGCTTGTGGTACATATTTTCCAAAAAACAATACAATAAAAATATGTTCTATTATTTTGGTGAATGGGAATGTAATTGATATATTTTCAAAGTACAAAATTGCACTACTTTATACCGTTGTCGAGCAATTGAATGACTGAAATTAAATTTTGGCGATTCGGATTTTATTTGGCTTCGACATTGATTCAATGATACCAAAATAAAATGGCCAACACTTCTACGTTGCAGTTTTGCAGCACAATAGGAGGATGATTTTTCATGTTCAGTACGATTTCTTGTTTCCTGAAAACTAGCAACATCTTTACTAGGTACACTCATACACAGGGTGAGCCAATAGTGCGTGGGCGGATGATTGTGAGTTTATTTTTGAATTCTACTACTGTATTAGCCATTAAGGCTGGAAATTAAAATAGTATTTTCTTAAAGTTCGACATCTTGTATATTATTACATATTTGAATTACTTGGTCAATTTTAGTGTGACTTAATGTATCACACCTGGTATCTAAAACCATCCGTATAGCCAACATTTTTGCGAAAAGTAGATGTTAGGAAACAATTGAAGATCATAGTCGTTATAAAACATAGGAGGCCGTAACTTTTAGGTGTCATTGACCATGAAAGGAAGAAGTGGGTAGTTTCATTTTACATTTTTCTAAAGCTTTCCAAAGTGTGGTGACGGATTTTCCAAATGTATGATATTCAATTGTTTTCTCACCTGTACTTTTTGCAAAAATGACTAATTGTGACTAAGCCGTTGGCTTTAGATACCAAGTGTGATACATAGAGTCATACTGAAATTGGCCAAAAAATCCAAATATGCAATAACATGTTGGGGGTGTGTTGAAAAAATACAGGTTTGGCAAGAATCATGCTGTATAAACGATGTAATTCAAGTGAGAATTTCTCAATTTATAACCTTAGGAGCCACAAGCGATTATCCAGTGAGGGAATTCAGAAACATGTGTTAATGAAAAACTAAACATGGTGCTTTCGTCCGTTCGATCAAAGGATTGTCAGCCATGGATGGCTGTTTCATGCTTCTTGGCTACTCATCAGTACTGTCTAGGCTTAGTCTGTCATCTCTAAAGCCACGAACGAAAGCATCCACGCCACTGTATTTTGTACAGATTCTAACGATAAAGTGTTTGGGTGAAGATGTAGTTTCCAGCAGAAGATAGAAAAGATGCTTCGAAAATTTAAAAGGGGTTACTTTGAATTTCCCGATAAACCGACATTTTTTGATTGATGACAATACCACCAAGAACATGTTATTGCAAAATCTTCTTTTAACAGAATCAGGGATCATAGAAATATCCATTTCCCTGAAACAAAAAATGAACTTATTTATTATAAAGTATTATTGGAAACATAAGCTGCTTTCCAGTGGTTTTTTGTTTGAGAGTGATATTCTTCTGAACTGCTCTAAAAAGTGTATAAATGGGAATATAAAATGCAGTGGAATAATATGGGTGCTAAGCACTGCTGAGTTACTCCGAGTAACTGAAGCTAGTCACTGAAAAGCACTTTGATAATGCACCTAAAAGGACTGAGTATATACGTCTTATGAGAGTTCGAGATTTTGCAATTTTGGGATGTTTTAGATATCTTGATGAAAATGACCACGGACACAACTTAATCCTTAGACTATATTTCAAAATAAAAGAGGTGTTTAAAGATGGACCACTTATTGGTTTTGCTATACAGGGTGTCCGCAAAGTTGGGGTTTTCCTTTTCAGAAACAACTACCCTTGAAATAACAAAGGTAATGTGTAGTGAAACGAGGGCGACCAAGTAAAAAAATAAAGGAAAAAGTACTCACTCTCCAGTTGACGAGAAGGGCTAAGTACGTCTCTGCCCGAAATCATACCGCTCCAACAGAAAATGAAATCAGCTGATGCGCTACCGAGCAGACGCAGGCAAACAAGGAAGGCAAAATGTTGCGTAAAAAGTCTAGGTATTGCATCCCGTCCAACGATTTGGGAGAATGAATGGTCCAATGAGCATACCCTTCACCATGCCAGCCCAAACATTCACCGAAAATGTTTGTTGAAAATGTGCCCGACGCACATAGTTAGATAAATTAAGCTAAGTAATTATCGCAAAATTTGCCTTTTCCACAAAGAAACATACAAATAATGTACCACTTGGAGGTACACACGATGCATGTCATCACAGTCAAACACAGGCAAAATGGAAGCTGGCAAGCGTGTCGGCTCAGGTCGCCTTGCCATTATGCGATTGGTCGCTCGGGGACAGTCGCACATGCGCCGTATTTATTGTATATTTTCGAAATAATGGAGTTTTAATATTTTCCATTGATTGAAAAGTAAATATTTGATAAATATTATAAAATAAATATTGTATTTAAAATAAATAAAACACATTGATTAAATATTTATCAAGAATGTTATAATACAAATATTTATTAAACGATTGTTTAAGATAACATATGTTTGAATAAGATAAAAATATTGTTAAATATTAAATAAATATTTAATGAATTTTTCATGCTATCGAGGAAGTGCATATAAGCTAAATTCATATTTTTAGAGTTTAAAAGTGTAAGTGTTTGCTGATAATCGTAGTATTAGACGACTTCAAGATATGGTAGCTCTTACGTAATTTACAAAGAGCAGCACAAACCCAATGAAGGTAGATGTTTCCACCGGTAAGTAATATTGTATTGATACAACGCTGTCACTTTGGTAGCCAGTGGTATTCAAATTTAATGAGTCAAAAGTATGCACTAAAACTGCGCAACTTTGCCAGCGAACAATGCAATTTAAATATACAGGATGAATCTTGATTATGACATTACTCCAATTTTGAGTAGCGCAATAGAGTTTTAGGGTCTATTGGTAGAAATTCTAAGCTTATTAAAGACTTGGATGCATTAAATACATTATACTTTGTGCATGTACATTCTAAATTGGAATGTGCTTCGTTGATTCGGAGCCCTTATTGTAACTGTTATATAAATCAAATCGATCATGTTCAAAAGAAATTTCTTGAGTAACTGGTTTGAAACATTAATTCAGTATATCCTCAGCATGGTTCGAACTAACTAGTATTGTTGGAAAGATTCCAAGTGGCCTCGTCGAGTGAGAGAAAAAAACACAAGTCCCTCCTCTTCTTAAATAAACTTTTACATGGTATTGTTGATTCTTCAAATCCGTTAACTCAGCTTAAATTTTTAGTTCCAAAGACAAGTTCTAGAAACATTTTCCTTCATTTGCACCCGTTAGTCATGTGCCTGAACTTCAATAGGATATGCAGTGTTTGTGATATCCTTATAAGTTTTCTTGATTTTTCATCAACTCAAGAGGGTTTTATGGCTGCACGATAAAGAATGTTATACATGTTATATTAATGTTTGCTTATTTTCTTAAATTTGAATAAATCAGTACTGTTTTTTTATTATAGAAATTCTGATGGGCAATAAATGCTATTACTATTATTATTAGATATTATTATCTTATATAGACTTGGTTCCTTCTAATCTATTTGAATTCGTTGGTAGAAATACCGGGTGATTCTCTAAGGTGGGTCACCCCTATAACTTTGAAAAATGAAATTTAGGTGTTGCGTATTATAGATAAATTTACATTTTTTGGGATACCCACGTATTTTAACATGCTTCCGGTTTGACCGAAAACGACTCCGACTTTCGATTTTTAAATGAGACACCCTATATATTTTTACTGATTTCGACCGAGAATTACATTCTGAACTTAACAATGCCTTACTTGTCAATATTTGACAAATAAACTCATTTTTATCTCAAATTCTATTTTTCGATCTAGAATGCCATGAGTCCTTCAGTTTTGGTCAAGTAACACGGGAAAAATACGATTTTGAGGCGAGCGACCTTACAGTCGTTTTAAGGATTTTCTAAAAGTTACAATCACTGGTTTTTTCAGCTTACTTGATTTTTTCAAATAGAAATGGGGTGGCTCGTCGCTTTTTCTAAGAAACCATTTTCTTATGAATAGTATGACACTCCACGCTCTTATTTTATGTTCACTATTTTTCTGAGTAACTGGGCTGTGTACGACGTGGATGCTCACACTGAGTATTCGCGTCATACGATCGTTGTGAATGCTGCCTCAGTGCGACCCTCGCGGTTCTTGTGAACGGACGCGTGTTATTGACGTTGCGCGCTCATGCGTCATGGAGTGTTATGGGACTCTAAAGAGTCTGATTTTTACAATAAGTATCTGCGGACCCTTTGGCCATGAATGCATTTTCTAATATTAACGCAGGCACTACATCATAAATTAAGATTAATAAAGAAATTACTGTGCTTTTACTTTAATAAAATAATAAAGACTGGTGATTAAATGCTGAGTTTATTTATATCTTACCTTTATATAGTTCTACAATGCTTCAATTAGCGCGTCGCGTTCTTGTGGAATAATCGGTGAAATACTTTGTCTAGATACACGAAATAAGTATTGTGAACTCGCGTAGGAATCGCCCGTAGCTAAAAACCTTACTGTGATCATAACTCGTTCATTAACAGAAACAGTATCACGCATGTAAGTATTTCTCTTTTTCACGGCAGGCCTTATTAAATTTTTAAGATGCTCCGAATCTTCCTCCGAAATTCGTAACAAGTTTTTATCATCTTCTTCAAAGGTGATATCGTCGTATAATTTAATCCAATAGTGTAATCGGTTCTTAAAAAATCGTTTTGTCCACCAGCGTCTTCTATTCTCTTTTTTTTAATATTGAATGAATCACTATATAGGCCGCAGCTGCAATCTGCACGGGCCCATTTTTCTTACTGACGAACACCGTGCGTTTTTGTTTGCATGCTCAGCTGGAGCATGTGTCGTTCGGAATGCTTGCATAAATGTACCGTCGTATGCCTTAGGTTGAGGCATGCGAGACGAACCATTCGCGACACACGCCTCGCGATGTCTGTATGCGGCTTTAGAAACGATTATACCTAACAACAAATAACACGTATAGTCAACACCAAACAAAGTGGCGTGCACGTCATCAAGGTGGGTGTGTTGAAAAATTTACATTGTTGCCAAACTTTTTGTAAAATAATAAAATTTATTATTTACATATCTAGGTTTATAAGCAATATTAACCTCAAATGAGAACAAAAATAATAGTATAATAAAATTATAGATCTGTACTTGCATAATCATTAAGTATGACAATTATTGATCAGATGACACTATGAAACTACCATATTTAATTGATAGCTTAAAGGTACTGAATAAAAATCCAAATGGGGTCCTCCAAATTTTATGCATGGTATTTATTTTACAGAATTCATACAGAAAAATGCATTCTAAAATTAGGTAAGCTACTGGTGTAAGCTTTTTCTGTACAATAAAGTTAGTCGGAGTTTCTTTCTTCAGCGCTGTCTGAATCTGAATCTTCATCACTCTCAAAGTTGATTATTAAAGGTTCGATGTCTGGTCGATCAAAAATTCGTTCTCTTTCATACCATTTAAAAATTTCTTGCTCAGTATGTCGAACACTATTTTTCCACATGTCTGGGGTAACCGTTTGTAGAGCCTCGTTCCACATATCCAAACAGTCTTTTTCACTGTTACCATCTTTACCAATATGTCTGTTATAGTAACCTTTTGCTATGCCCCAAATTAACTCAATAGGGTTAAATATACAATGGTAAGGAGGCAGACGAAGAACTTTGTGCCCATGTTGTTCCGCCAATTCATCGATCACGTATATTTTAGGTGGTTTGTTTCTAAAAAAGCAGTTATTTTAAGAATAGGAATAAACAAAAGAAATATAAACTGTCGACCAAAATATATATAATTAAGAAGCATTATGTACCGAGCAACAATACTCAATAGCTCTGTTTTAAACATTGTGTTTAAAAATGGTATGTTTTGATTTGTCAACCAGTCTTGGATATTTTTTTTTGTCCATGCATTGTTGGGCACTTTGTTCAATATCATGCTGTGATAAGGGGCGTTATCCAGTATAATCATAGATGGACTCTCCAATTTTTCTAATAACTGATGTTGAAACCATTTCAAAAAGTTGTCCTGGTTCATCTCTCCATGGTAATCGCTCAATTTTGTTTTCGAAGAAAATATCGCTTCACTACCCTCAATAAACCCATTTTCATTTCCAGCATGTAATATAATGTATCTAAAATATATTAGTTTTAAATTTTACAGTGCAAATTGTGTAAAAGTACATACCTTTTACCATCTGTTTTAATAGCTTTCACGCTTTTTTGGTTTCCATTTTGCCAAGAGCGACCTATGGCCCCATTTTGAAATATCCAAGTTTCATCGAGGAAGACAAACTGGTATAAGGCCTCAACCTTGGCTTGATTGTGTTGCCTTAGAAATTCCACCCTTTTCAAAGCTATACTTGGTAGTTCCATGAGCCCTCGTCGCGGATTGTCCTTAAGCCACTTAAATCCAAGATCTCTAAGCAACCGCCTTAAAGACGTGGCACTACCATCAAATAATGCCCTATCTCTTAATCGAGACCATAAAGTTTGTATCCTAACTTGTTCTTCTGAAACCATGTGTAATATGACATTATAATTTAGTTAACAAATTAATGCAAATTTCTGATAAGTTATTATAATAAGATCTTACTTTTGTGATACATATTATAGATCACTTCTCGAATGGCACTTGTATCCAATGTCGCTGTGTTGGTTACACGTTTAATATAACTCCGCTTTTTCTTGGGCGATTCTAAATTTGCATCACTTTTCACACCCTCGGAAATACGACTAACTGTCCTTAAACTAATTTTTAAAGCAGCAGCAACACGCTACAAAAAATGAAATAAAATTTCACTATTATTAATATACATTACATATAATTATTAGTAACCTACCTCTTGAACAGCATTTAAAGGCAACAAAGGCCCGTTGTTGTCCCTTTCTTGCTCAAAGTAGTGCATTAACGAGGCCACGAGTTCCTTACACCGACTATTTAACTGTTTGGGCATCTTTATATACCAAAATTGCCTTTATCTACTCGTAAAATGAATAATTTTGTTTTGAAACAAACAGTTGTTGATTTACAGTATGCGGGGCCAAAGGATTTATGAAGATTTGAAATGCCACAAATTGATTCAGTGTCAAAATTAATACAAATGTCAGTTCCCAGTTTAAATAACTTTCAAGGTGACAATGTGTCAACGCTGCGAAATCGGTTTAGTGCGTTTACATGTCGATAAGTGATTGGAGCGTTTGCAAAACATTTTATTTCGCATAATGCGTCTAAATTTATCAGAAAGCAACTTATGTGATATTTTAATAACAATGTTTATATGACTATTAACCATAATAAGAGAGTAATGACCATTTTACAATTTATATATCACATTAATATGAAAGTACAATAGAGCAATTGTTTGTGATAGAAACCTAGGCATTAGGTCGGGGAATTTTTATCGTGATGACGTGCACGCCACTTTGTTTGGCGTTGACTATATCTGCATTCCGTATACCTATGCACTAAATCCTATTATTCTAGTTATCCGTGACAAACAATTGAAGGTGTTGCTAGGTTTACTTCAACAAATAACTAATCTAGGTTATTAAAAATACTGTCAGCTTCAAAAATTTATGTGTTACATACTCTCCTAATTAGGCAAGATTGATATTTTTCAGTGTCAAATGTAGTGGTCTAAAGATCCAGTTAGCCAAGAGGCGTCGTAGCGTAATGGGAAAGAACGGCGATTTCTGAACCGCAGGACGTAGGTTCAAATTCACGAAGCTCTTTTTTTTTGGCTATTTTTTTTTTAATTTGAAGAAATAAATGCTTTTTCACATTATGTGTACTTTTATTGCACGCCATAGAGAATGTTTTCTTGCAAACATGAAGCCAGCGAGATACGTATAATTGTTCATAATTATTTTTAATATATTTCTTTGATGAAACTTCAGAAACATAACATCATAACAGATGATTTTTAAAGCCATATATCCTAGATGTGTAAATTATTAACCAACAATAATGAAAGACATCCGAAACTTTGTTTGTGATAATGAGCTTGTTTAATGCACTACAAGTTAATTACCCCCAAGTTAGTGGTTAAACACATCACAATACGAAAAAATAAACAGCATTATGGTTGCTATGGTTAATAATTACAAAATGACATTGAATCCTGCATATAATTTTATTCTGTGCAGAACAATACAAATTTTAGATGCAAAAAGGATTATGTCACTCTCTAAGATATAATTGAAATAGCTTAATTTCCGATTTTTAATATATATTACCTTCCACATTGTATTAGGGCTTCATCTGTCCCATCACTCCCTAAAAGAGAGATTACCTCAGAATTATGCTGCCATAATACAAAAAATACAATCTATGCTAAAAATCTCTACGCTAAATACAAAAACTGTGGGTTAGCTTAATTTTATAAGCATCCTCTGCGGCTCCAAGAGGTACCTAATGTGACGGCGTAGGATCACAAAAAAAATGTCGGTATGTCTTTCACTATTGTTGGTTAATAGTTGACACATCTAGGGTATCTGCATTATTTTTCGTGAATATAATGTCATAAATCACATGAAACCACAAGTACTAAAAACAGCACGCCACCTTGACATTTCCTGCTACCGGTCACACGGGAATGACACGTCTATTTTAAAAACTTTTTCGGTAAAAATACAATCACTGATAATCATTTACTATGATACGTAAAATCTTCATTGCAATTATTTGAACTGTCATGTGTCCTTGTTCGTTTACAATTTTATTTTGATTTTTTGAATATATTTAGAATTAAAAATGTGACATTGCATTTTAAGTTAGGAAGTTACATTGTTAATTTGGAATAGGTATAGTGCTTAATGTGCGAATTGTGGGTTCACGCTGCTTATAGTGCTTATGAATCCAGTGTGTATATCTGTGATTATTGTAAGAACAGTAACTAAGAGCACTAAACTATAAGTTCAGGCTAAACACTGATTTGTGATTTTTGTAACTGATTACCTAATAATTAACAGTTATCAGATGTTTTGTTTAACTGATTAATTACCAAATACATACGGTAAGAAGGTTACGAAGTTCAGAAGTGTATTATTTTCTTAGAAAAGGTGAAAGCAGTTGTCAAAAAAAGTGATTATAATTTGAAACACTATATTCCACATTACCTGCACCCTAAGTAAATTTGCGCTTTTGGAGTTTTTTATCTTGACAAATATTTTCATGGAGTTCCTGGTTTTTGTTTTGTTTAATTGTTCTTATTATTAAAATTTAATAATTGCCCAACAATTTGATGCATTTTTTATTCTACTATTCCGTTTATCTTACAAGTTATTTCCAAAAAAACAAACGAATATTCCAAAGATGCTGCAGTTCCTCTATTTGAGACAAGAATCCAATGGAATTATCATCAACACATACAACTTACAGCTCACACCTCCAGTAATGCCATCTCTGAAGCAGATTTTACATTACATCATAGAAAAACATTGATAACTAAAGCCTCATGATGTTTAGGCAACACATACAACTACAAAACGAGTTCACAATGTGTCTATCAGCTCGTGCTAAGTTAACATCTTGTAGAAAAACCTATATAATGTCACAAAAAACCAATAGTATCTCAAAAAAGATTGCATAATGCCACTTTTCAAGATACATAATATCAGTGCCGTAGCACACACCGACTATCATCTATTCCTGTCATTACCAGATTTTCTGTAGGGCAAACAAAAAACTCAAAAAGAAAGACGATATTTAGCAGGCACTACTACTCAATTCTATCTTACTTAGAGGTAAGGCGTTTCATAAAATATGTATACACAAGTAGCGATCACATTGGCAATAGGTCTTAAATGACGATGGACCTTATACTATTTACCAAGTTTATCTAAAGTACAAATATAAAACACACGTGAATGGGCAGAAATTTTTGGTAAACCTAATAAATATTCTAATTTGTATGTTTCTCTGGAACATTGCGTTCTGATCTGAGTGTAATTTCCAAACACCTTACGAGGTTTCCATCCAGATTAGCTTGGTAGCGTGGCGCAAAATCATGTAGATTTATGTATTGTTCCGGCAGATTTATTCAACCCCAAAATCCGTCGCCGGCACCGGCGGCGGCGGCTAGAATGATAGGTGTTTGTTTCCTGCTCGCTGGGGCGTCATGAATTTTGTACATAGGCGTCTGTTTGACCAAAGATGGGAGAATCACTGTCTTCCAGATTCATGTCTGATTCAGTTGATCCAATGGTCAAAAACAAATGGAGTTACCCTACTTTGCAGCTCAGCACTGGCATTTTTGATGAGCTAGTACTGAGCAGGCTCGCCGCTATTTGTTTGAACGCAGGCGTGCATTGCCGATTTAGCCGCCCCATGTATAACTCTACGCTCCTTTTGGGTCGGTGAATCACTGGAACGGGTTCGATAACATCCAATCCGTGGAACAGCTTCTGCGATTTCGAGTATCAAATTGAATCTAAAGCCATTGTATAATGTATTATAAGGGCATGAGAAAATAAAAAAAATACAAAAAGTACTTTATCAAAAAATTCTATCTTTAGAGATAAATACATATTTATTTGTACAGAAATAGATTTTTTCTTGCCTTTATGTTTGAAAAATCTTCTATCAAGTTTTTGGTATCCAAGCTATCTAAAACTCCATGTTCAATAGAAACTATATATGACCCACATATAAAAAGTTTTTTTTTAATCTTTAACTTTGAAAAAGACCTTTCACCGGATGCAACTGTGACTGGCAATGTAAATAATATTCGTATCGCCATTGCCGTGTTTGGAAATGTTGAAATTAAATCATTAGTAAGAGGGTATTGTAACAGCGTATGAGAATCATTAGACTAATGTTCTGGAATGTGCAATTTCAAAGCTCTAATTTCATTAAATGAATCGATACCGTCAATGTCAGTTTCGCTAGTAGATTCGTCTTTAAGCTTTAAATGTTTACCATGTATCTTTTTTTCATCGTTGTAGTAATTAAATAAGCTGAATATGTCAGAAACAGTTTTAACTCCTTGAATCTGTCCTTTGGAGTGGTTAGCGTCTGATCTAAGATTCTGAAAAAAAACTCTACTTTGTATTTAATCTTGGGGTCTAGTAACACTTCGTCACTGTGTTCATATTAAAATTGGGTTGATCCTCTTCTAAGAAATTTACTTCTACGTTGAGATGCTGAGCTACATTAGTAGCTTCTTGTAATAGCTTCGCGAGGTGCTCATCTGTGCGATATTCGGTTAACTTAATAATCAATTTTCCCAACAACAGATTTGTATCTTCATAGTGGGGCTTTGCATAATTTTGCCTAAAGCATTAATTTCGTTTAAAATATCAAACCAAATTATTATTAAGCAAGTAAATCCATAATTTGGAATGGTAAGCGCAAGCGAATGAGCTTTGTGAGATATTGCACAGTAGCATTCTGACGAATTATTATCAGATATACCCCGCAAAGCGTCAAATATTTTTTCAAGGTGGTACCGTAATGGTTTGACTGCATCGATTCTGCTAGACCATCGCGTGGCACTTAGAGCTTTTAATTTGAAATCTGGTAAACATAAATTTCTTGAATTACATTAAAGAAATTTACAGTTTTGTGCGAAATGTTTGCTGTATCATTGACGACCAAATTTAGACTATTAGCTGAGCAACGTCAAACGAACCTGTTATTAAGGTACACGTACTGTGTCTCACAGGACGGGGGCCTTAGGCCTGGAGCATGGATTTTGTTTAAAAAATGCCTGTTCACGTTAAAGCTTGGCTTTTGAAAATCGGTTCAGTGGTAGTGGAGCAAAAAAAAAATAGATTTTTGACGTTTCTGAGAGTCGTGATCGTATTTTCAAGAAAATGATCTTTTTGGGCGATTATTGACGGTTGGGCGAGAGTGGGTTACAATTATTTGGCGACAGTATATTTATTAACTTCTAGGTCCAATAATTCTACACGCGTATGATCCATATTTCGCATACATATTACCTCGTATATTTGCCCTTCATACTCGGGAACAAATATTTTGTATGTAAGGTGCGCTAGCCGCTGCTCTCTGGCGAACATTGACGGGACAAATTCTTACCTGAATAGCTAAGAAGGGGCAATGTAAGAATTGCGACTACTAGGGCAATATAATATTATAATAATAATGAAAATGATAATAATAAGAATAGTCGTCTTTATTTGGAAATAGACTAACTGACTGGCGAAATTTTGCATTCGCTATCCTTACACTTAATCAATCAGTTAGCGACTGGTAACACAATACAGGAATATATGTCCTATCTTGACGAAAAAAACAGACAACAACAAGATCAGAAAATGCGTAAATCAAGAATTACAATTCATCATATATATATATATATATATATAGGTGAAAAATTAAAGCTTCCGCCTTTTGTTGGGTACTTCGACAAAATTTAAGCAAAGAGGACTCTTTATACTTTTTTTAATTCTCTCTAGCTTTCAATGGACTTTGCCATCATCATCAGGAGCTGCAATTACAATGATAACAGTAGCAACAAAAGTGTAAAATGAATTTAAATTGACTCAACTTACAGTAGTATGTGAGGATGTTGCTAATTGTTGTTTACGTATAGGATGAGGGAAACGTCCAGTAACATGGTGAGAGCTGGACAGATTGTGGTCAATTAGTGGTCATGGAATAATGAGTGAGATGAAACCCTTTGACGCTAGAGCGCATCTTTCAGGATGAAGCCTAGCATCACTTTTGTGATATATATATATATATATATATGTATATAGAAATGATAAGATTAAATGTATAGTGAATTTATAAGCAGTTTAATTTTCTTACGAAATGTAGACAAATAATATGAACGGTCTACTGTGCACAACCTTACTAAAAACATTTTTTACTCTGTGGTATAAAGGCTTTATGCAACAATTTACGTACGAAAATTAAATTATGATAGCTTACTAAATTCTCAAATTTGATCCACTTCAATATTTGGTAACTGGTCAAATTTTCGTAATCAGAAAATGAACCTTACACAATTATTTTGAATAACTTGGATGTTTTTTGCAAAGCATATTGACGGAAAATAGACAATATTGCAGTAATTTAGGACAGATATGAATAAACTCTCGCATAGTTTTTTGCGATGCTTAAAATCTGGTAAATATCGATTTGGTATACGAGTACTTAACCTGCGACGTTTTTTGGGACAGAATCTTCACACGTTCAACAAATCTCATTTTAATATCAAAAACTGCATCAAGCATTTTTGCAGACTCGGCAAACTCTAAAACTTGATTGTTTATAGAAATTAAGTGAGATGAAGCAGCATTTTTCTTCTTTTTCATTACAAAACAATAATGTTTTGGATTTTTTTTGAATAATTTTGATATTGTGATAAGAGGAATATTGTGTCAAATTGCTTACATCATTTTGTAAAATTCTTGTTGCACTTGCTACCTCATTTGGATTAAGCTATGCAATAACTGAGTATCATCTGCAAGTGATTGAATAAGAGACTTATTAATATTTTTGTTTAAATCAAAAGTATAAATTTAAAATAGTATGGGTCCTAATATAGATCCTTGAGAGACACCAAAAGGTATCAACGATGTTGAGGACAATCTTTGGTTCAATAAAACACATTGAGTTCTGCCGTAAAGATAATTTTCAAAAAATACTGCTAATTTATCAAGATAAATATAACTGAGTTTCATAAGTGAAAGCTCATGTTTGATACTATCATGCTAGATACTATGATACTAGACAGACCTTCAAAGTACCAAGAGCAATGACATGGAATCCAGTCATCAGACATATACAAAAATGACCCAAGGTGATATCTGATGTCGGTAGATGATATGACAGCCTCCCATGGGTCCATTTAATTCTCCTACATCATCAAGACCTTGTCTTGTTAAATTATTTTGCTCTGAATAGTCCGAATTGTATGATATCGGTCCACGCCTATGAACTCGATGCTCGCGGCACGGCTTGGTTTGCGTAAATTGAAAATACGTGGGGACTCGGATCCAGTTATTGCTTTCACGTTTGCTGAAGGATATACGTGGATAAGAGATAGAGAACACAAGCAGTTTAAAATAAAATTGAGCTTGATGGGATCATACTGAGAAATGGGGATGTGTTTATTTCAAGTTATATTAATCTAATAAGCTTTTACGGCGGGTTGAATCTCCATGGCTGGAAAACTTATTGTGAGTGACGCATTAAAATTCTGAATAATAATGGATTGGCTGGGTATTCTTTTCCAGTAAGAACTCAGCGAAGTGCTAAAATTTTTATTTGGGCATCTTTCTGCAAGTAAAATGGATTTCCAGTTGAATAATAAAATTCTAATTTCATTCATGTGCTTCCTCTGCCATCTGGGAGAGACTAGTAAGTGGTGGCGCTTTCAATAATTTTGGATTATATCAGACTATCGATGCATATTAAGATTTAATGTTTATGTTTTTAATTGCTAGTTAACAATACTATCTGATCAGTTGAGGTTAGGCTCATTCATGAAAAAAGACAAGTAGAGTTACTCAGTGTTTTCTATGTATATAGTACTGGAATGTTGAAAAAGATATTCACTGGTTAAGTAATTCTAAGATAACACAAATCACCAATCTGAGTAGAGAAATACGGCTTACCGTCAGACATCAGTTTCGTTATTTTTTGAAAAATACGGTGAGTAGCTAAAAGTACATACCTACTTTGTAATGTAACATCTGAAACTTATCCTGTGGCTAACTACTATTCCTCATTTGTTTCAGCGGTCCGTAGAACCTTTGACCATTTTTCATTATCTAATGTACGTTGGACAAAACTGTCGGTCCTGGTTGTCCAGAAACCAGACAATTTCAAGGAAAAAGAGACAGGGAAAGAGAGGAAAAACAAAGAAGAGAAAAGAAAACAGAAGTGTATCAGTTTAAGTGGCTTTTTGACTTGGTACACGGATTCATTTTAAGATGAACTAAAAACAAATTCTGATGCAGGTTTTATTAGACTGTAATTTTGGTTTTACTCAAAGTTCGCGCAAATCTTTGATCACAGTGCGATTCATAGCCTTGAATCACTGAATCACGCAACAGAAGGTTGCTGTGCAATTCCGCGTGACTAAAACGTCGCTGTGACCGTCGCTTAACAGAACCCCTTAAGTAAGGAATGTCAAGGTCTCTGTGCAGTATTCTGTGGCTGACACTTTTGACAATGTTTCATTTATCTGTCTTTCAGGTGACAGTTTGTATCTGGTACATTGAAAAATCGGCAGATGACCTCATACTCTCTTGTCGTTTTTGGGGGGCTAGCTGTCCCTTTTGAGAGCGAGAAATCTTAGCCCAGATGGACATGGTCTATGTTGATTTGGTGTAGTATCATCTTAAAATTTAGACTGATGGCTTCGCGCAAAATCGGCATCTTACGAACCTTTCAGACTTTGGAAGTAACACACTGTACAGGAATCTGAAAATGAAAGGTAAAAACAAATGAAGT